AGCACAACTGAGAAGTCAGATAACCTTTCCATCCTTTCAGGAAATGCAGTGACATATGAAATGTACATTAGAACATTCTATAAGAACAACGGTGAAGTTGGCATAGTGTCAGCCACGTCAAGTAAAGAATAATCTGGTTGTTGATGCCCTATACAAAGTTCAGAACAAGACAAAGACATGGGTTAGTCAGCAGTCCAACTTGTGTACCACGGGAAAAATCTGCCACACACAGCTGACAAGTCAAAAACAGACAGTTCTGAGAAACACAGAACATCCAGCAACTACACACCAAGCTAAGTGAGGCGATCTGTCTCCAAGAGTGGGTGATGGAAACCCATAATAGGGAATTTATCAAAAATGCAGACAAAGGTAGCAGTTTTGATAGTGGATAAGGTGTTCCCAGAAATACCCTCCTGACAAAGCTTGTGAAACGTGCTCAGATACCATGCACACTGGTAGCACCACCTAAGGCTGGCAGGAACACAGCATATAAACACAAAGAGAGTTCAAAAACCATTACAATGCAGTCTCTTTACACAATGGGCACTCCGAAGGCAGCTGTTCAGTGCCAATCTGGCCAAGATCTCCTACTCCATTTCTTTCCACCCTTTGCTCAGGAAGGTCATTCTGACCTACTGCTGCACAGACCCTATTTTGTGGCCTTTAATCTCCTGTGTTGTTTTGGAACACATGCAATCCCAGTAGTTTAGAAGGGAGAAAAGGGTGTTAGCATTGCACCTGGCAGCATTTCAGCAGTGTCAGGGACACGGTGTTTGTTTGACATGAACAGCATGTGTCCAGTTAATAGAGAAGCCGAGGCTCTCCCACAGACATCAGTGACAGCAAGCCTGGGGATAGGGCTTCTGAAAAACACTCCACTGCTTCTTATATACCCACAACATGAGTTTCAACATGCAGGAAGACCTGTGCCTTTCAGACTTCTGACTCACACCATCATCAACAAGCAGATGTCCCAGAGACCAAACCCTGTGGAAAAGCACAGCGCACCACAGAGTGAAGCCAGTGGGTTGGCCAGCACTGCACAGAAGTCCCCACAGCCCACCACCAACCTCACTGCCTCCTGTCAGAGCAGGCACAGATAATGTTCTTTATCATGGGTGCCACAAGACCAGTTATTAGCTTCAGTCAAAGGGCCAAACAAAGGCCGGATGGCGCTTTATCCAGCGCTTAGGCTGCAGCCAGGAGTGGTATCTCCAAACAGCACAGGACTCCAGTTATCTTTAAAGAGTAGTTTTCCTGTAATCAACAGCTCTAATCTGTGCATGGAAAACTTTTGTAAATGGTTTTATTACACATAATTAGTTAGCTGATAACAGCTTGCTAAAGTTGTCTTTTGAGAGTCACTTTTTTTTTTTTTTTTTTTTTTTTTTCCTCTCCTCCTTCCTCTTACTTCTTCGGGAAATACAGCATCGTTCAGGTTCTAGCAAACAGCGAGACCTTTGAAGATCTGACCCTTATTGTGTTTGCCTGCTGGAGGTGATCTCTATTATGAATTCTTCAGTGACTGAGCTTCTGGAAATCTCTTTACATGAAAGCAGAACCAGTTAACTGTCTGTACGAACATGTGTTTTCACAGCCTCTCCTGTATTACTGCATCTCACAAAGCTTCTATAAAGTGCCAGGTGAACTTTTTAAAATAATAATAATAATAATAATAAAGAAAAGAGTCTTGAAAGTATGAGCAAATGTCAACCATTCGGTTCCTGTTTTTAGGCTGGAAACTAGGAACAGATGGTACTTTCCATGTTACTTGAATCTGGTTATTGAACACCTCTGTGGTTACAGGAGATTTTGCTTAGCACTTTTAACATACATTTCATTTATTGGACTATAAAACGCTACTTTGGAAAAACAAGTCTTTATATAGCTATAATTAAAACAGTCTTGCAGCAAGCCCCTTTAACGCGGAGAACACGGTTAACCTCGTGACATCTGGATAATCAATTCCTTCCCTTTTACTGGGTATTTACGAAGTTATTAAAATTGTAAAATTACCGATGCTGAAGACAGGCGCTTTCCCAGCAGCTCCCCACCAGGCTGCGGGCTCCCAGCGCTGCCTGCAGCCCCGCGCCCGGCCCGCCAGGCCCAGCAGGCTCCAGCCGCACCGCTGCAGACGCCCGGCCTTATTGCTCCACAGCAGCCAGATCCCCAGTGCAGCTTTCAAAACAGTTTGCTGTCAAACAACAATAGACTTTGTTCTTTAATTGAAGCGGGTGACCCGCTTGCCCTTTTATTTCACAGTGAATAAGCTACATCCAAGGCCAGCCGGGACAGTACATGAAAAGCATATCTCTGTCACATCATTAATCAAAGCGTGTACTTAAATGATTTACATCAGCGGGCACAAATCACAAGGCTGCCCGATGAAGCATGGCTTATTTTCAGTCCTGCCACAAGGCGCCAAGGCGAGACAACGCCAGCCAGCACGTTCATCTCCTTTAAACAACCAAATGAGAAGGAATATGCCAACACAAGAGGGACATTCGCTCCTGAGTGTCACCAAGCATTCAATTACAAGCCACAGCTCAGCACCTCGGGCTGCAGTTCCAGATTTTCCATATTATCTTCATCAAAGCACACAGATCTCTACACTCCAAATACAACCCTTCTGTACCTCAGTTTAGCTGTGACTGCTGCAGACCCCGACCTTCCCCTAACGCACACAAAGTAAATGGCTGTAGATAAACAATGTAGCAGCTGTTAGAAATACGGAAATGCGGCTAAAAAGAGGAAGATTTGTTCTTGCTGACAGACAGTAACTGTGCTAAAAATGGCAGAGCATGGATAAGGGATGGAAAATGGAAACAGGTTTTAACACCAAGAACCTGAGGAGTGGTTAGCCTACCTGTCAAAGCTACTTATTCAGACATGTCACCAGTGGCTTAACCACAGAATGGGCTGCACGAATATAGCTCAAACATCTGAGAATTACAGCATGCTTTGACTTTATCCACATACCAGGGGAGTGGCAACTTTTACAACATACTTGCGGTTTCTGCATTAAAAAAAAAAGCCAGCAGAACACAGTCACTGATTTAATTAGGCTTCGTAAGATCAATTTATCATGTTTTACACAACTTTCCGCAGCAAAGAAACAGAATAAATAGACCAAAAATAGACACTGAAGCACGCTGTGAAAACTAAGCAGTGACTGCAAGTCCTGGGAATCCGCTCCAAGCTTTTCTCAAATAGTAAACAAATGCAGCGTTGTCTTTCACACCACATACAAAAACCTTTGGATTTTCACTCAGCGGGCATTAACTCCTTTCTGTCTAGTAGGACACATCCAAATTCATGAGACGTGCCTTTCACAACATGATGATAAATGGAAACTGATTTTTAACATGCAAGGCTTGAAAACTATATATCTCCAGATACAAGGTGCTTTGTGCAAGTGATGCATACCCAGCTCCAGCCAAGGCGAGAACAAAAACAAAAAACCCATAACGATAAACAGCGCAGTGCACTGCGCGGCATCTGGCACGTATGTGTATCCTTCGTGCGGTCTCCCGTGTGACCCGAGAGCAAAAAAGAACACAAAAACGGGAGAAACCACACTGCTCTCTAATCGCTGTTGCCATGACAGCAGCCTTTGAGATACTGCAATGTTCAGATTGCCAGCTAAACAAAATTGTTGAATGTGAACATTTGGCTGGAAGATTAAAAGGCTAAGGGGGTTGCAAAAGGGCAGTACCTCCCACATTCCAGGCAGCCACTGAATCCAATCAAACGGCTCTGACTCCTTAACCACAGCCATTGTGAGGACTGGATTAGGGCAATTTATCTAGATAGTTAAAACAGATTAGAGAGCTGCAATTTGAAGACCATTGGCAACAAAAGCAAATGCCTACTGTACTAAGTTAATAGAGGGAGCGGGAGACTTTGTGACACCTTTTCACAGTGAACAGAACCTCCATAAATAAAAGTGCAAACGTATACGTATGAATTACACCCGTTTGCCTCTCTTCTCATCCGCGTTCAGACAAGGTCACAAAGGCTCATTCAAATTCATCCGTAGACACGCTACATTAAAAGCAGTAACACGCACACAATGAGAAATTCACGTTATTTCCTGCCTCGAATGCAAGCCCTTGAAAAATATTTTCGGATTTTTACTGGTAACTCCTGACACAAACACACAAATCCAATCCTGGAAAGTCGACTTGGACGCTACAAAAAACCTTCAACACGTCAGAAACGAGAGAGCAGCACAGACGGGCGCTAAGGAAAGGTGACTTCTTCCCCAAGACCTCTGCCCTGCCGACACTCGCAGGACTCTCCGTCAGCGTGTTTTCCCAGCGGCGCCGCTCGGGGAGCGGCACGAGCAGACGACGCGGTACCAGTAGAACTCCGGGCCACCCGGCACCGCTCACCTTGCCGGTGCTTCGGGCACCCCGCCGGCAGCCGCGGGCCCGGGCCCTCAACGCGCGGGCAGGGCAGGATGCCGGCACCGCGCCCGCCCTCCCCCAGAGCGCGACGGTGGGCATTCGTCGGGGAAGCACCCTCCGCTACGCCGATGAAGGAAAGCGCACACCTCCTCTCGACGCCCCTCCTGCATGTCACCGCTCGGCGCACCGGCGGCCGGACCCGCAGGATTTGCAGAGTTCCGCGCCCCCCACCTCCCCCTCTCCCAACCCCCCGCCCTCGTGAGGCCCGGAGGCCCCGCCCGCCGCCGCCCGCCCCGCACGTCGGGGCCCGTGGCGCCGCGCACGCCGTGCCATCGGCGTCCCTTGTCCCCATGCAAGGAGCCCGCGTCCCCGCCGACGCCTCCCGGCGGCGCTGCGGACGGCCCGCGCACACCCGCAGCCTGACACTGGCACTGCGTGCCGGGCGCTGCGCGCGGTGCGGGACGGACAGGTGCCGCCGGGAGCGTGGACGGGCTGCGGGGCACCTTGCCGTCGGTGGGGGAAGGACGGAGGTGTGCCACGAAGCAGTCCGTCACAAACGGGGGGATGAAGAGGAGAGGAGCTTTGTCCTACCTTTTCTGTCTTCAATTTCTTGACTCGCCTGTGGCTCTCTTCCTCCTCCTCTTCCTTTTTTACCAATATAGAGTTCCCCATTAACCCTGAATCCGGGGCGCCTTTGCTAACTTCCCCAGCGGCTGCGGTGCAGTGGAAGGGGCTGCCGCTGCCCCCACCGCCCTTGGACCCGTAGCCATAAAGGTGCCCGGAGGGGCCCTGTCCACCGCCGCCGCCCCCAGGGCCGCTGGGGGGGCCCAGCTGCACGTCGTGCTGCTTGTCCTTCCGGGACTTCCCCGCATCTTTATCCCGCTTGGCGCCTCGGCTGCCCTGGTTTTTACATGGTTTCTCCTCCTTGTTTTTCCCACAAGAGGCAATGGCGGTGGTGCTGCTGGTGCTGTTAATATTGCCGTTTGGGTTACCGCTCACGCTTTGACCCAGTGCTGAATTCATGCCAGTTGCCTCTCCAGGGCGCCCTTGGACTTCCTGCCTTTTGCCAGCACTGCCGATCTCAGGAATCCCATACAAGGCAGCAGAAGGCAGAGATTTATTAGAATCCTTAGAAGTTTTACTCCTTTTCACTTTTGATTTAGTAGTCTCTTTGTGAGAGGAATTCCCCTGGGGAGCGGAGGGCTGAACAGAAGCAAATTTTAGGCCATCAGCTAAGGCTGAGGTAGTATTAGCCCCACTGGAAGCCAGAGCCCCACAATCCTTGGAGCTGGTGCTGCTGCTGCTGGTGGTATTGGTAGAATTACTCATCTCAAATTTCTGTCTGTCCTTCTCCAAATCTGCGTCCAGATCAATTATTAAATTCCCAACACCGATTTCCCAATCATCACCACTGTCGTAAGTGTCAACTGTGTTTGGATCCACACCTTTTCCTGTACTGGAAGTGTTCAATGACATCCTGAAGATGAGATCTCTAGAGTAAAAATTCGATGAACTTTCCTTTGGAGGTGTGGGGACATTCGTTTATCTCCGCTGGGCTTTTCTAGATTTAATTCTTCTCGTCCTCCTTTTCCAGGTGTGTCTGGGTTTGTAACTTGTGGTCCACATTCACCTTTTCCTGTGAGGAGAGGAAAAGTCAAACATGTTTTGTCTGAATCTTACCAGAATATAACACAACTAGTAAAAAAAAGGCCAAGGCGGGGGGACTGAAATCATTTGCTACCCACATTTTTTTTCCCCCTTAAGTTTGTTAAAGCAGAGGCAATAGCTGTCATGCTTTCACAGTGAGCATCCTTAACCTACTTGTCTCCCAACATCCTCAAAAGCCACGTCCAGGAAAAGAAAAAGGGAAAAAAAAAAAAAAAATCCATTAGCTAGGTGATTTAAATCCACAAAGCTCAGGAAACGCAGCCTCAGAGCTGGTGCCTAGCTGTGGGAGCACATGTTGTAATTTAACCCCAGGACCACCACCTAGGCACCAGAGGCAGAAAAGGAAGTACACAGGCTCTCTCTTCACCACATTCCATGGATTTTGTGGCTTTAAACCAGACCCTTGAAGTTTTGTGTTATTTCTGTATTATCTTTTTACTCCTTTTTGTACTTAAGCCCCTTTTTATTTATTTATTTATTTATTTATTTATTTATTTGGAGGGGGGAAGAGGAGGTCGAGGGAAGAGAGAAACCTAATTTTCCTTCACACAATACGGTTTCTATTAAAAACAAACAACCCGTAAGCACAAATGAAAAATATCAAAACCCACAGTTAAAAAAAAAAAAGAGGAAGAAAGAAAAGAAGTAAGATCTTTCTTAAGAAACATCAGCTCAAGATTACAGTCCTACAAGCAATTCTAGCAGTCACACGATTGTTAGGTCTGTTAAATACAGTATTACTGACTGTACAGGAAACTGATTAAGACATACACTTTAAGTGATCTGCACCAAGGTGGCCTCAGTGACCGCAAATGAGTGTGTGTTTGACAAAGCTCAGTTAAAACGATTTTTAAAGGGATCTCTCCCTTTTACAGCCGCTTATCGAAATATTTATACATAGAGATGCAGAATGCTTACCTTCAGTCCTTTATCATTTTTTTAATTAAACCAGCAAATCAAAGTGCTGTTCCCACTCGTCTCAGCAACAGCTCTGTGTCTCATTTTACTTAGAGAGCAAGCGATCACGCAGTAGGCAGCAAGTACCATCGCAGCCCGGTCAGTGACACATCTCCCCTACTTTGGCACTCGGATCAGAGGTCCTTTTTTGCTTGTTTGGTTTTTCCTCCTCGCTTACAAAAATAATTAAAAAAAAAAAAAAAAAAAAAAAAAAAAAAAAGATGCTGCTCCTCACTCACAGCTCTGCATGCCGGTAGGCAGCATTCACTGTCAGAACTGGAGCATCAGGTTATTTTTGTTGTTGTTGTTTTTGTTTGTTTTTTTTTTTTTGCTGTTTTGTTTTGTTTTTTTTTTTGTTTTGTTGTTTTTTTGTTTTTTTCCTTTTTTTTTTTTTTTTTTTTTTTTTGCGCGCGCCTGTTTTGCTTTCCTGAGTAAGCACGGAATCGTAATAATAGTCACAGTAATTTAAAAAAATAAAATAAAAATGTTATCCCCAACTTCCCACTCCATCTTCAGCCCCGCGCTCGGAGCCCGCCTGAGCAGTGAGAAACGATCCCGTGCGACAGCCCACAGGCGGCCGGGTGTTACCGGCAGAATGTGCTAACATCGGGTAAATTAGTGAAAGGGAGGAAGGGAGAAAAGGAGAAGAAAGGACTGAAAATCCGGGCTGGATTCCGCCCGCTCGCTGGGAAGTGGCATTTTTTTCGCCCGTCCTGACAGATCTGATTTCTTCGAGTTACTTCAGGGGGCGCGGGGGCGGGGCGGGGAGCGCCGCGCTGATACCGGGAGGGGCCGGAGTGAAAGGGGGGGCCGGCGGGGGCCGCGCGCCCCCGGCAGCACCGTACCGACAGCGGCGCTCAGTAGCGCGCTGCGGTAATTGGAGCCCGGCGAGACGCAGCCGACGACCTTTTTTCAGGACAGGCCGCTCCCCCCTCGTTGTATCCCGGCGAGCGGCCCCTCCCCCGCTTCGCCGGACGGCGCGGAGCGGAGCCACAGCGCGGCGTTGTTAATTAGCGGCGGGGGGAAGCCCAGCGCCTAATGAGCCGGCGGCGGCGGCGGCGGCGGCGGCGGCGGCGGCGGC